CAGACTAACAGGAGATTACCATAAAAAAAAAAAATACAGGATCTAAACCATTCAGAGGAAAGAAATGGGTTGTTGCTACCTGACAGCAGCGATGTTGACATATTTTAGAAGACTTGGAAATCTACCCACATTTACAAGGAATCACATGGAGTATTTAAATGCTACTAGTTTTTTAGTTAATAAATTGATTGTAAGAATTTTAATTGCCAAGAACCTTAGCTTCATGATGCTTGTTTCAAACATTTTCCCTGATATTTTGTGAGACTTGAATTCATCATAGCCTCAATAAGTTTGTGAGTCATTTTTGATATTCAGAATTGTAATTTGACCTTTCTTTTGGATTTCTCTAGTTACAGATATTTCCATTTGTAATACTTAATAGTTAGGAAATTTTATCATGTTCATCATAATTCAGTTAGCAGTGAAATGTTAATTGAATACTGCTAGTTTGTTTAGGTAATAGCTCTAGATTAACTTGCAGATTTTTCTGATTGGAGGAAGTTTCGCGTTAGATTGATACACAAATTATTATAATGGTCTTATAACTGTTATTGATTCTGTTGGTACTACACGAAGCTCATAACATGCTGGTATATAGGATAGGAGTGTGGTTAACAATTGTTCCTGAGTCATCTGGGGAGTAAATGCTTCCGTGGTTACTGAATTCTTTCATTTTTGGTCTCAACATTGAGAGGACGTGTATAAACAGCCCTATCTCTAAATTAGTGTCAATAGTGCAATTTAACAAAATCGTTCTAGTCTTTGGCTGATAACATTTGTGATTCTATGTTTTTAGCAAAACATTTCATAATTTTAAAGATGTTCTTGATTATATCCTTCAAGTCTTGCTTAAGATGTAATATTCACATATCAGTATAGCTTGTATATAAAAGTACGTGGTCATCTTTCTTAGAGTTCAGAAATACCAACAAAATCATTGCCCCTGACCCATTAAGCTCATATTCTACATCTGGATACAGAAGAGGGATAGAGGCAAATTGAGTCATAGACTTTATGTGTGTTATTCCACATTGTAGCTGTCTGTAGCTACCGAGAGGAGTCAATGTCGGAACAGTGCCTATGAAGCCATTTATTTGTAAGAAATGGACCTACAGAATCAGCCTTCCTGGTATTTGCAAGCTTCTGAGTCTAGATCTGGCTTTCTCTGCCAGCTAATCTCTGAAATAGACTGGAGGCATGTAGGTGTAATATGCCTGACCCAACAAAAGGTCAGATTCTGTTTGCGATTTTGATCCATTTCTAATTATAATCATGTTTTTTGATGTGGTACTGGTTAGGGATGAGGTGCAATTTCATTACAGGTTTTTTACATTAACACTAGGATTGTAGATATTTTAACATCATAAATAAGGAATTTATTCTGCCCAAAAAGCAATGCCAACAATACTCAAAATTATTATAGTGATGTGCAGCTTTTGAGTAGTGTTTGCTGGAACACAAAATTGTGTGTGTGTCTCTTGTGAATCCTCTTCCCTTGTTTAGGTTTTACATAATGGTTAAGTGTTATTGCTAAGTAAGGTTGGTTAGGCTGAGATGGAAGAGGCCTTAATTTTATTCCTAGAGAAGCTTTAAGTTCCGGGAGAGGCCTTTAATAAATGTAATTCTGGGTAATGTGATACTTTGAGATCCCGCTTATATCCATATGAAAAAGCTAAGATTTTTTCCTCAAACTGGCTCTTGCAGATACTCATTTTATCTTTGTCAGTTCTTCTGTCTTTTTACTATTACTTTATCTGTGTGCAAAGGAAGCTGGTAAAAAATAATGTAAATGTGTCAGGTGTCTTTAAACCAGCCTCCCTCTGGGCTTAGTCTTGCACTGTGCTTTGCACTCCAGTTCTTGTAGACTTAGTCAGGCTATGAGAATAATCAGCAAATGGAGTATTAGGCCCCTGAAACATTATAGGTTCCGTGGATGTCACTAGGCCTTTGAAACAGAGAAAATGTCCTTCAGAAAAGTTCTCCAGTTCTTCTTCAGGAAAAGCTTCTTTTTCTAACCTTGTCTTACAAAAAAGGCTGAAATAAGTAAAAGAATGAAATGGAAGCAAAGCAATATTTAGGTGAGAGTCCTAACATTATTTGTAAAGCATAGGACAGTGTTGAGCAGAAGGCAGAACATAGAGATGACTCTAATCTGTGGACTAAGCAGAGATCAACAGGAGGTGGAGGAGAAATTTGTGCAGAAATCTAATACTTATTCTATTATTGATTTCTAAAGTATCAACCAGTTCTGCTTCACAGAAGTTACATATGTAAAATTTAGATTGGTAATCTGATAATTTTATTTATTTTTTCTTCACCACACCAAAATTTCTGACACTTTATCCCAAAGTTGCTAATGTAGTAGAGATGGATTTGTAGGTACCTACCCTCTTTTTTACAGTCCTGGTATGTGACAGTGCTACAACTTGTCCATGACATGAGCTTATGTCCTTTTGGGCTGAGTAGGTGATTTTGTCAGGAAATGCAGTAGATAAGGAATTGAACTCCCAGTTGAATACAAAGTTCTGAAAGTTAACTGTTTTGTTTTGGGGTTTTTTTGTTAGACCTGGTGGTTATTTTCATTGCAAACTATTTATTTGACTGGTTTTTTTAATATCTATTCAGTTTATCAATTTATTCACAGCTACTGCATTTTGCTATGACTTTGTTCTGTACTTCCAAGCCCTCTACAAACATGTTGTAGTTCAGGTGCTTTCAATGTCATTTCTTCTTTCTCACTTCTTACCTCAGTCAAAATTATGTTCTTTTTTCTATTGATCGGAGAAGTGCAACACTAATTAAGAAAAGCATGAATGCCATTGGGGCTGTCAGGTTTTATTTTCAACACAGAAATAATAGGAGGGTGTTTTCTAGGGTTAAAGTCAGGAAATTTTGTTGTCTGTATATGTGGGGGTTTTATGTACATGAGGGTTTTTTTGTTTACTGCTACCTAAATTATGTATGCTAATAAAATTGCAGTGCTTGTATGAGATGCTTTTGTATTAACTATGTATGACATGTAGATATGTTAAGAAGATAGAAAGCTATCTTAATCTAGTGTTAATTTTCTCTGACCTAGTAGGGCTCTGACTGGTGGACTTGGAACATGATAGAGTTGTTCAGCCATATGTGTTCTTATTCTACATAGAGAAATGCTTCATACCTTTATATCAGAAGAGTGTCTTTTATTTTGAGGTATGAGTCTCTGACTCTTTCTTCACAGTTGTAACTCCACTTACTGCCTTCAGTGGGGTTCACGGTACACATAAATGATGATACCCTTGGACAATGCCCCCTAGAATAGCTTCTAGGCCTATAAAAAAGGGAGCAAGTCTGCCCTTTTGAAATTACAGGTTACTGTATCCAATACTGCTTCTGTTGCTTATCAGCACACAAAAGGAAGAAGAAATAGCAGGAGCAGAGTTTCGAGCATAGCTTCAATGGCATTTTCAGTGATAGCAAGCCACAGCGATCTGCTACAACAAGAACAGCTATATTTTTGTCCGTTTTCCATGCTTTGAGGAATATTAGGGCAGTCAGGATTTTGATCTTCAGTTCGCAAACAGACTTGATAGTTTTTTGAACACAGTTTTTTGAAACTTGACCTAGGCAGTTATCTAATTGGGGGATAATGCAGGTTAGAGCATTATTTCTGAAGAGAAGGAATTTGCCTGTACAACACGTGCCATGTCTGTCTGTCTTTGGAGAGAAAAGCAGATAATGCTCTGGGAAAATAATGCAGCTAGCCTAGAAAAGAAGGAAAAGTAGGTTAATACTGGTGGACACAGAAAGATTTTGTAGCAGTTTTGTATGCCAGTGTTGGAGTTGTTAAAAATTTTGCAACTGTATGCGTTCTCCAAGTAAATTAATGTGTTCTGCAAGAAAATGACTAGAAAGATTAACCAACTTCATAAAAGAGAGAGACATGACTGCTAAATTCAGAATTTAAATTAATGTATAGCTTGTTTTCCTGTGTATTTGTGCAAAAAGCCTTTTTCCCAGAGATTTTTCTTCCTTGTTGTATACAGACTTGCACTTCTTTGATTATACTGGTCTTTTGAGTAAAATAGATTATTCTCGAGGTAATCACTAGCTGTTCCACATATAGGATTTGCAATTAAACTTCTATACCTTCAAATCCTGACTTAGCTGAATAAACATAGTGTCCTCATCAAATGATTGCAGCCACGTTGTAGCTGGCAGCGTAAGGTATTCCTGTGTGTGTACCCTGTACGTGTCCTTTAAAAAAAACTTGAGTGCTTACATGGCAAAGTAGAAAATTAATTCTGAGTACTGTAGATAAATCTGCAATATTAAAAGCTGGCAGACAGGAAGACATTATTTGACAATCAGTATTTTTTAAGTGTTTCCAAATCTTAGTCCTACTGTAAGTCTAGTAGTAGACTGGAGATGAACAGCTAGAGATGAATACAGCTAAAAATGCTTGTAAACCTCTGCATGTCAAATATAAAAGAATACATGTGCAAGTGGGCTTAGAGGGAAGGAAAGTTTCAGACTCCTAAGTGGAAGGGACTGGAGAAGTAAATCTATTTTTACAGAAGTAAAATTTATTTTGCAACTTAAAGGAAGTCTGTTAGACTTTTTTGTTTGCTTAGTGTGTTCTGCCTAGTGCTTTTGTGTTTTTCCCCGCCACAAAGTCTGTGGACATTTAAGTGGGTTAAGGACCTGTAGAATGAAATGCTACTGTGTATTACAGTGATAGTATGAAAACATTTATAGATGGATTCTGTTGTTTGGGGTATGGTCACGAAATTCACAACCGTATTAAGGGAACAGCGTAACTCCAGTGACAACTGAGATATGTTATCCATTTGTTTATATTTAGATGATTCATCCTATATTCTGTAATTTTCCAAGTCTCTATCTAACAGCAGAGAATAGCCAGATTTAGGTGATGATAAACAGCAGAAATCTATTAAAAAAAAAATAGAAAGAAAGAAAAAGGGAGCAGGACAAAATATTAGGGGGAAGCTCTTCAGAACAAAGTTAGTCCTGGAACCTGTGTTTGACATCCAGTGGAAACAGCATGAGAAGGCTCCTGCTTGGTTTTTGTGCTGCCATGACCAATGAAATATAGTCAGTAAAGAAGGTAGTGAAAAGTTGGCGGGTTTTTTCGCTTCTGAGTCATGTCCAAAATTGGTTTATGCATGTTATCTTACCTCTCGTTTTCATAAGGAACTGTAGGCTGTTGTTCAAAAAACTGGGGGAAGTGGCCAGTGTGTTATGCCATGTATGCAGCAAGATGGCAAGGTTTTTTGAGAAGTCAGACTGCATATGAGGAGCTTGAGGAGAGATTACATATCTGCTATCACTCTCTAATCTCCATGCTACAAAAGAGTTGCATAAGAGGGAAAAATGAAGGCAAAGGAAAGGAGCTGTTTTCCCTGCCACTTTATCTATCTTGCACCTCCTTCTTTCCTTTCTGGATGATTTTGAAAGATCCAGAGAGCAGCAGATTGTGCAAGTCTAGGGATAGTCTACTTCTGTGTCTGCGGTTCCCAAAACTTGCAGTATTACCAAGATGTTTTGATCAGAGCTTTCTAAATGGTGTTTACTGTAGCTGGTGATTCATTCACAGCTGTTTCAGTAACTGTTACTGTATCATTTATATATTTCATGCAAAACAGACAAATTAAGTTTGGCAGGGACTCCTGCAGTAGGAGCTCAAGATTTGTAACTGATGCAGGAGCCCTGTCTCTTTGAAACCATCAGATAAGGAAGGCCTTTTGACTTTAAGGAATGTTTTTGGTTTTAATTTCCGGTATTGTGGATCTGCCATGTCTTCTACAAATGGAGCAATGGAGGGAGGAGTTTCCCTGTCCTTTTCCTGCTTCAGTGTGAGGGGAGGAATGGTTTGCTGTTGATCTATGCACAGATGTCCTACCCAGTTTCCCCTATGTTGTAGTGCACACAGGATCACAGGAAATGGCTAGCATATAAACACTGAGAGAAATTTCAGGGTGCCTGCAGGTGGGCCAGTGGGATTTTGACCACCCTCTTTTCACAGTAACAGATTGCACAACTCTGTGATTTTTATGCTGCAGCAATTTGGAAAACTCAGATTGATACGCAGATGTTTGCTAAAGATTTCAGAACAATACCATGGAATTTCCTAGTATCAGAATTGCTGGGGCTTGTGCAGAAAGCTCTTTCTGGGTCCATTTTTGCATGCTAGTATGTGTATTTTTAATCCAATTTAGAGACCACTCTCTGTCTGAATTTGCTACTCTGATGTTTGCTAATCCATATTTGGGTTTTAGGATTCCTCACTGTGTTCTGGGCTACCCATTCCACAAACAGAGATGAGTCATATTCTTCTTGTGAGTCTGTTAAGACTCTCTTGGAACTGGAAGTGGAACTAAATCACACAGGAGGTTCTGCAGAGTCATATAATAAGAAGAGTGCGTACTAGTTGTCTCTAATTCAGTTGCTTGGGGAAAAAGCTGCAGCACTTAATGGTTCAGAATTGAAGAGGCTGAAAGAAAAGGAAGCCTTGACAAATGTGATTTTTAAATGCATGTTATTATTTTTTAGCCTAATGGTAAGAATTACTGGGTTTTAATTCTTAACCCACAAAAAATTTAACTAATATAGCACCATATTATGCCCAGTCATTGGTAATAGGCTCTAACATTAGTGATGGTGATAATGTATGATCCTTCTGATTTATTATTCATCAAATTAATCCCTTGGATATTTCTTTTAATTTCATTTGCCTTACTCCTGGTGTTAGTACATCTTTAGCCCACTGTATGCAGGAGATCTGCACACCTTTTTAGCAATTTTACAGATTTCTCAGTAACAAAGAATTACTATTTGCTTTTCCAACAAGGCCTACATATTAGTTGAGAACTTTCTTTTTAGGAGATACTTTTTTAAGGGAGCTGAAATGTTAGACATACAAACCTGCTACAGATATATTTTTGAAAACATAAAAACCAAAAATCATTATTCACAAAACATTTGACTGTGGTTCTTTATGAAGTGTTTTGTGTCTTCTCCTTTTTTATTTTTCTTTTCTGAGTGTTCTAGGAAATGCTTAAACATCAGAAATAGGTAGAACTTGATGCAAGCAGACTAAGACTTTGACAGAGTGAAATATCCCGCTATGGAATCATCAGCATTCTTCATTATGGCACCTTCATGAGAGATTTTAGCAGTAACTCTCATTTATACCCATATAAGAGATTACAACGAAGGCAAATATGGCTAGTCAGGAGTCTCTTCTCCGTAAAGCCCTCTTCTTCCTCTCTGTAACAGTATTTACCAAAATAGCCTTTCTCTGGATACTTTAATAATTGCCATTGCTAGTTGAGAAACATTGCTCCCAGGCCTTGCATGTTTGTTTATCTTAACTTTTGCATATTTATTTGTCTTAAGCTTTGAGCAAAACAGTGCAGGGCTTCAATAAAACAAATGCAAAGATGGTGAACTTGTAAGGAGTAGACAAGCTATCAGAGAACTTGAGGGTGTTCAAATTTTAAAACTACTTGACATTTATTGAATACTCTTAATGATTAGACCATAGTTTCTTATTTACAGTTCTCTGCTTATACACACCTAAAATGCTGTATGAGCTGTGATGTTTGAAGATGGCTTCAGATAAAAATATTTAATGCTAACTGTCAAAATACTGCTGAGGCACAGAGTCTGATTTCACAGGACTTGATGTTTCCTAAGCAGATGTTTCCAGTTTTTATAATACTATTGATCTTAGTTCTAGCAACACAGCCTGAACTGGTGCAAATATGTTCAGATGGCATATGTATGTGGGAAGTAGTTTTGTCAGAATGTCTCAAGCATGATTGTTCTAGAGATGTGTATGACAGCAGGTCACTATTTAGCCATCAGGATTCATGGCTGAAGTATATTTTAGAGCATAGATTTAATTTGACTTGACACGTGGCAGAAGACATCTGTCATCTGTTGTTTTTATCACTTCCCCCTACTTGTATATTTTTAAAATAATAGAAGAATAGAGAAAAACATATACTAAAATTTTTCTTACAAGAAAATGTCGTTTTACCTTTTAGTCTTAGTGCTGATTTCACAGAACTTTAGTTTTAAGCCCTTTCTAATTTTTTCATTTCATTTTTATAACTTATTGGAAATAATTGTCTCCTTTTTGCAGCTCAAGCATTGATGAATTTGATCCTAATTTGTGGAACTAATGCCAGTAATGCAGTTCTTTTCATTCCATCAGACAGGCTAAAAGATTACCATTTTCTGCACTGGTTTTTTTTTTTTTTCATTGTTCTAGTAAAGCAGTGCTGTTGTTACATTTCTCCTATTTTTAGAAGCAAAAGGATTGCATAGAAACTTTCAGTGTTAGCTGAAGATATTTTTCATTTGAAGATGAGAAAGTTCCTGACGTGGGTCAGAAGTTATCTGAATAATAAGATAGTTTCTTCTAATGTCTGCAGAAGTTGCAGTATGGAAAAAACCCCACCCCTTTCATAATTCTAATACATATATAACACAGTATTGAAGTGCAAATAGAATCTTATCATCTTTATTGATGTCTCATCTTATTAAACTGGGTCCTGTTCATAAACATATATCTATGGAGTTACCATAAATATTCAGTATATATAGCTGAGGAGGCAGTCTTGTGTTGTGTTTGCTCTGTATTTGTTACAGTACTTTGTATATAGCAATGCATACAGTTGGAGAGAGCTAAGTTGTACACCACTTTACATCCTCTTTCTGCTACAAGAATGCCAAAAGATAAGACTAGAGAGTCTGATTCCTGGAGGAAAAAAAAATAGTTTGCTTTGGTGGCATTAGACACAGGAGTAGGAGCTCTTCAGAGGCTATAAGGAAGAAAGGTTAGATATCCTCCAGTGTATGGAATTGGATACTATTTAGGTTCAGAGCCATGCATCCATCAAGCTACAGCACACTTCTCTTGAGCCCCCCTGGAAACACTAAGGCAGAGGTTTACATGTGCCCTCTGGCCATGGATTTGTGGGCTATTCAGCCTAGTTCATACATTGAAGTTCGTTCTTCAGGAGTGTGTTTTATAGATGCTGATACTGTCTGGGAAACATTGATGCCACCATCAGGGAACCATATGGAACGTACTGTAGGAAAGGAGGAGACTTCCCCCTCCACCCAGTGAATATGACTCCCAAGACAACATCCAGTTAAGGCAGTAACTTCATGGTTTAAGTTGTAGAGGGTTTTATTGGTATGACTGTACAGCCTGAGATCACATTTGAAGGTCAGAAGAGATAGAGTTCATTATATAAGTAGCCTGCATTGTTTATACATCTTGCGTTAGTGCTGCTGTGCTGACCTTTCAGCTCTGGAACTGATATGGCCCCCAGGGTTTAAGGCAATATACTTTCTCCAAATTCAGTTGTGTCTTACAAAAATATTTGCGTTAAGATGGTGCTTCCCATAGAGCCTGTGAGTAGAAGGGCAAGATCAAGGTTTTATGAAACTGTGTATTTATTCCCCTTCTCCTCTCCTCCATCCCATAGAGGACTGAGTAGGTCCTAGCTGTGGCAGAAAGGAAATCTTCTAAAATTAGAAGCTACGGAAGACAAAGGATGGGGCAGAAAGAAACATCGTAGCTGCTTTGGATATTTTCAGATTTCATTTCTCTGAAGTCTGAAAATGGATGCTGGCAGGAAGTTTTTCTTTCTTCTTCACTTTTGAGTTTGTAGGAGGAGAAGGAACAGATGATGGACAGCCGCAGCTCAAATCTCTGTACCAGCTAAGCCATACAGCACAGTCCTGGACACTTATCATCAGTGTTGACAGCAGCAGAGATGGGGGTGGACAAATGATTACAAGAATAGCATGTATATCACCAGGAGGATGTAGTCCACCAAATGTGGGAGCTATTCCTGCTTTTTGAGAAGCTAACTAACTCCTTCATTTTAATAGAAATTGGCTGTGCCTTATCCAAGGGGTTAAGCTGTTCTGTGTTGAAACCATTCTTGTGTGCTATTGTAGGAGAGTAATATCTGCATTGCAAGGTA